ATATTACTATGGAATGACTAACTTAAAATGAAAATAAGAGAAAATTAAATTTTAACAAAAGAAGTTAAAGGAAAAATTAAAAAAAAATGGTTAGAGAACTGAATAGCTAATTTTGTCAAAATAAAATACTACTTAAAAAAATAAATTAACGTAAATCCCTTTTCAGCTACATAACTAACTTATAAAATATTATTAAATACTTTTATTTGAATTTAAGTATAAAATTTTTTAAAACAAAAATAATAAGTTGTATTTGTGTTTCAAATATATTTTAAGAAAAGAAAATAGATATTTTGTTCATTAAATTTTTTTTAATACATAAATACATAAATTTATTAGCTTATTTTAAATCACAGAAAAAATAAATAAAATTTAAATATAATTAAAAGGCTCAAATAAAACTCTCAGCAAAGACCTTAAATATTATTGCGGCGACCTGTTTCATAAAAGCATATTAGAAGAGTAAGTTATTTTATTGCTACTTCCTACCCAGAGAAGGCCTTTTGGCAGAATTTGAGTATCCCTCCATCCATTATTGATTTATATTTAAAAGTTCAGCAAAGGAAGCACAAAGTAATGATGTTATAATTGAATGCAGCATGAAATGCAGAACTTCGTATTCCTTTCTGATTTTGACATCTGAATCATTAGAAAATAGTTAATCATTAGATTTGCTAAATATTAACGAACTAATTGTTATTCATTCCATAGAATAATTGAATTTGTTCGAGTGCTTTGTCAACTACTGTACCAATCTTTATCAAAGCTTTAGATCCAAACATTATTACATTATATTAGTTAATCATATAAATAATCTGTGGTTCATCACAGCCAACTGTGGCCTAAAAGGAAACATATTAACTCTTGTTGGTCTCTTTTTCTATCATTTTCCCTTCCTATATATCATTTTCAAGGGAAATAACACTTAACCCACCTAAAGGGTCCTTAACTTACTACATCAGAAACACATAATCAAAAGTTTTAAAATAATATAATATATTATGTTCACATTTTTTTTACATTACTAATTTAATTTACATTAAATAAAACTAGTAACAAGATGTTTTTGGTGGTGTTTATAAGTGGGGTTCCACGATTCAGTAAATTCCAGAAGCTAAAACTGACTAAAAAGCCTGAAATTCGATAGATTGCTTTTAGTTGGTAATTCTTGCAACAAATATCTGATTGATTGATTGGTAAAAATGAGTTGAGGGCGAAATTTGGGCAATAATTTGAATGTTGACTTTGTTTGATGATCGTATATCTCATGATTCTTAAGCTTAACATCTCTTATAATTACAACTTTTGGTCTAATAGTGAAAGGCGTGCTTATCTTTGAAGCGATATTAAAGCAAGGACACATAATGACAAATGAGAGATTGTTGGTCTTATACTTGTTCATCATGCACTAAACAGGATGATGCATTTGATGATGTTGGAGATAATGCACTGATCTTATATGGATGATGGATTGGATCCAAATTATGATGAAAATTTGTCAGTTTGCCTCTATTCTAAGTTTCAATTTTCACACAAGGACTGGTCTGTCTTGCAAACCTGAATTGGCCACACCTGGGTTGGACCCGACCCAGCATGCATCTCTGATTCAAGAATCATATTCTTTCACAATAAAACGATTGATGTTTGAAATTCACATTAAGCAAAGGTAATAATCACAAGTGTATTCTATCATCTCTATTCTTTGGTCTAATGTCATTTTCTTGTCTTGCACTCAAGAAAACTTTGTATTACCTAAATAATATATGTTTTCATGCAATTTCAAATTTTGTTCAATGAATTTCTCATATTCTTTTCTTATCTATTCTTCAATATCCCCAATTTAATAATGGTACATGAGGGCCATTCACTATGCAACACAAATGCACTAATCCAACGTAATTTAAGTAATCTTGAACTTTTCCCCCCCAAAGAAACTCCAATAAAATTTAAGAGGCAATTATGTTCTGTTGTGTCAGTAATATCTTGCAAGTAAGTAACACTTCGCTATTAAGTAATTCATGTCATATCAAGAGAAGAATATTCTTTTGAGTCATGATTTAATTGAAAAGACAGGGAAAATGACCATAAAATAAGACAGAAGGTTCTAGTTCGTTTCATAACATGATAATAAAGACAGGAGGGTAAAACTATATATATATATATATATAGTTATATATATATAACTTTATAAATTAAAAATGTAATTAACTGCAACAAAGTTGAGTGGTAAAGTGAAAGATAGTTACCAAAAATGAAGAGCATAGCATGTCTTCTTTTGTTATGTCAGATGTGTTTCCCTTGTAAAATTCATCCTATGATGTGTTTGACCTCAACGGTTTACTCCTGCATGATGGCAAATGTCATGAACAATGTTTATAAATATGGTACACTTGGTAGGTGGGGACCCATGCACAACGTGTCTCATCACTGGTAGTGTTGTCCCCAAACTTAATTGTGTATCTCAAGGGTGTTACTTAAAAGTTAGCTAGCAAAAATGTTGAATCAAAATTTAAGTGAGAAACGAAAATGGGCATTGATGTTGACTCAAATTATATACATAATTTTTCTAAATAAAAAGTCTTAAGAGGCAGGAAAGGGGGAAAAAATTGGTCGTTGATGGTGAGAGGCTTTGAAATGCAGAAAACAGTGACATAAAATCTTACAGTTGTAGAGCATGAAATAATTGAAGGTTGGTAAAACAAATGATGGGTTTTTTTAACATGGCCTCTGATTTTCTCCCCCAAACAAAGGAAGTAAAGCTAGGAAAAGCCCAAAAAACATGTTATTTTCCTTCATCCTAAGGTGAAAGAGGGGAAGGGGTCCCAAATATAAGTGGGAAGTGGGTGATATAGCAGTGACAACTTTACTTAGTAGGGTAGCTTCCCTAATGATCATTATAGTGCCTTATAAATCTCTCAAAACATTCTCGCTTGGTAGGACCTCATTTTCTCGTCATTTTAGAAGGACAATCTAAAGCTATTCCATTGAAAGCACATTTTTCTTTCTTTTTCTTTCTATTAGGGACATGGATTTCAGTATCTGACTATGACAATTGAACTGCAAAATTCAACCTAAAATTAGGCAAATGGAAGACCCATGTCAGTTGAACTTAATTTTTCTTCAGTTGTTGCAGATGATAAATAGCTAAGGAGATTTATATTACAAGCAACATGAAAAGAATTAGGTTAATTAAAAAAATAAAAATAAGAAAACAAAAAGGGTATAACTGAAAATCTATAATATTCATCTAATTACCTTCTGAAGTGGAATAGAGAAAAGAAAATCAGAACTTAGAACTTTTAAAAGTGCTTATGCAAGCATTTCACTGAAGAAAAAAGTTTAATGGTTCATGTACTGAAAGCCAGCTTTATCAAATTGATAAAACTCTGCCATGCTAGAGTTGTCTGACTAAATTGGCACTTTTTGTTGGCCAATCTCAACATAGTTCTTAATCTTCAGGTTGATTTTGCACTAACTTTATGTAATAAAGAAATGGGATCCGCCAAAAGAAATTGCCATAATTCAGAAAATTATGCTGTTGCTTCCTAGGCCTTTCTTTATGGATTAACAAAGAGAGTATTCTGTCATTAAGGAATATAAAACTGAAATAATTAATTAGCTAATGTTATAGAAAGGAAAATTCATCAATTGTTAAAGTGATTAAATTTGGGTACCAGCTACCGGTCCACGCTGTATGTTCCTTGTCAAGGTTATGTTTCATTTATTAGATACCATCATTGTTGGCATAAATCATATAATATTAATAATTCAAATGAAGAAAAACGCACCCTCGATTGTTAAGGAAAAATAGAGAATGATGAAATTACACAAATAAAATTACCAACATAAAATTCACACTATATAGTATACTACCATACACAAAATCTATTAGTTTAATGCATTAATTGTTTTCTCTCTTTAATAATTGTTCACATTCTTAATAAAATATTTATGAATCCATCCCTTGACACGTCGCTATATGATTAGGCGTTCGTAGTTTTTGGAGACAAGGTTGTCAGATTAACATTTTCCATTTCGCTTTGTTTATCCTCTTTAAAAAAATTAAAAAACTAGGTATTATTATACAATAATAAAATATGTGCAACTCTTCTGTATACAGCACCACATTCAAAGCATCTTTTCAATAATTAAATCACACTAATCTGCAAACCAATTATAGACCCAGCAATATTAAAATAGGATGACCAGAACCCAGAAATCTTTTGTTAAACCTTATAAACTGGATTTTTGTTAACAACCTCAGAGAAAAAGATTAGTGTAATATCTCCAGAGTATCTTTTCCAAACCTGAACTCCACTACAAACCCCTTTTCTTATTCACAAAATTAATAATAAAAGTAGTGAAATTATAAAGCTCAATGATTCATTGGGCCTAGTCAGAAGTTCACCACTGCCAACCTGGGATTCCCTTAATGTTCACATATATTAGTAAAAAAATTGTGTTTTCTATGAAGAGGGGTGGTTATAACTTCTAACCTCTACAATTTCTAATTCTTTTCTCTTGTATTTTTCTGTTACCTTCAGTGAAAAAAAAATAAAAGGCACAGAAGCTTCTGCTTTTGGTGAACCTAAGAAAGTTACAGGGGAAAAAAGCCAAAATAATGCCAGAAATTATGGTTGACCACAGCTCAAGTTAACCGAATGTCTTAATCATTCAAATTAGAATTAGAATTTTCAGATAAGAAAAAAGGTCCCACTAATACAGCTGGTTAGCAACACAAGTGAGAATCACATCGACCAGATTATGCGATTTAGCAGAAGGTTAATTGACATGACCTTTAATGAGATTTTAATGAAGTCCCACGAAAATTCTTTGTGGATTGATGTGATGTATGAATTATATAAAGCATACAATTGTAGACAAAGTGTAGAGGGATAATGATAGCGGGTAGTAGAAAAACTCCTTTAATTAGCACTATATCTTACAATTGGTGCCATAATAATAAGAATTTGCACCAAGAGAGAGTACAGAATCGGTCCTAAAGATTTTACAGTGAATAGTTGTACAAAAAATAATTGAAAAGAACTGCCCCTTAGGATTAAAAATTAAAATCGTGGAAAGGGTAAGAAGAAAGAGAAAAGAAATGGCTAACATAAAGACAAAAGAGGCTTCTATTAGACCTAGTGATAACAATGGCTTAATAATTCAAGGGGTTGTTCGAATTAAATCTCTTCTTGTTGTGTACACCAGCACTCTTCCTATTCCTCTGAGCTTCAATTCAGGCGTAATGAATGGTGATCAAAGCTTAACATTCATAGGGGTACTTGAGTTGAGCCTGTATTAGACCAAGAAATATAAAAAAAATATTAATATAGAGATCAATTTGTTGCGCCTATTTAAAATGATATGTCACATTAACATATTTTTTTCTCTTGCTTTATTACCGTTGAAACTCTGAGGTTGAATTGGTGTTTTCCTATTAGCAGTTTGGCCAAATCCCATTTGAACAATGGTGTGGAGGTCATCTTCAGAGAATGTTATTGGATACTGGGAATCATTGGATAAGAAGAATTAGAAAAAGTGCATGAAACTATCAAAAAAGAAAAATAAAATGAACCTTTTTCATTCACTTTTTTGAAGATAAGCTAAGAGAATTTGATTGATTACCTGAGAGCCACCACCTTCATTAAACCCATTTAGGGGAGGTAACTGGATGCCAAGGTTTTGGCAAAGAGCAGTGTCTAATGGGTCCACTGAGCTGTGGGTCACAGTTCCATTAGGAATGTTAGTGTGGATTGCTGGGTTTGGCTGAGGGTGTTGCCCATAAAAGGATGATGCTGAGGAATCTAGTGGGAATATTGGGTGTGCCAAAGAATTATTTGATTGAAATATCTGAAATCACCAAAAAGCCAACAAAACCCAACTCAGGAAAAAGCAACTAATTTTTTTTAGTTAAGAAAGCAAATCCATTATCTAGAGCCCTGAAACTTACATCTTTTGAGATTAGACTCTCAATACTAAAATCCAGCCTGGTGTTAACAGAAGCCAATTTCATAGACAGAAACTGTCAACAACAAAAAGCATACTTAATGAGCAAGAAATCCATAACATTATGACCGTCATTTAAGATACGTATTGGCTAAGACTTGTTTACCTCAACTTGGCGCTGCAATGACTGAACATAGTTTATAATTTCATCAAGCATAAGTGCTTTACCCGTGACCTACAAGGAATCATTCATAACCAAATTAATAACGAAACAAATTTAGCACTCAAAAGCAATCTAATTGTTTGAATTCTGATTTAGCTTATCAGCATACCTTATTGCAACCTGGGACAAGATCTTGGAGAAGCTTCATTCTTTCACTGATTTTCTCCCTCCGAACCTATTTTAAAACAAGTTTATACAATGTCAAAATGAAGGGCTACACATGATTGTTGCCAGTGTGATTCACAGAAAGAAAATGGAAGTGATTCGTACTCTTTCTGCAAGACTATGGCTATCAGTAGCTTGACCTCTCCTTGCTCTAACATGAATGTAATCCTTTGGTGGCTCAGGAGGTTTTGAGTTACTCTTGTTCTGTTTCTCATCACCTGCATTACTAGTACCCCCTTTGGACTCATCTTCTGCCCTCACTGGGCCATTTTCATTCCCCTCACTTTCATTTGGCTTGCTTCTCTTTGCATTTGAGTCTTCACTGGCTTCAGCAGCCTGAAGTGAAACACCCTTTGGGATTTAGGATATGCCAATCTGAATAAAAAGTGTAAAACAAAAAAACTTTAACATAAAACGTAGTCCTTACAATTGGAGGATTGGTAGAGGTTGAAGTTTCTTTGGCTTTTCCTTTGGAAGAAGTTTTTCTTTTCCTGGAATTCACATAAGGGGAAGGTTTCACAACAGTGTCCCCATTTGGGATTTGTTCAGAGATTGTTGATTCATCTTGAGAATTGGCCACTTCCATTAGGTCCTGCAATGGAGAATTCTTGTTCTCCTGTGTACCCATTTGAGATCCAAGCATTTTCAATGATGGACTACTTGACACTCTAGGGAGCTTCCCATGTTCCACCAATGAAGCAGATCTCTGAGCCAATTCAGCATTGTTCATCCTCAATTGGTTAGTCCTTCCATTGAAGCTCCTACTTCCAAAGCAAGAAAACTTTGCAGCCCTCTCAGCAAAGCCAGGATCAGCTGAGAATTCTGCCACACTGGAATTCAAGGCCATTGATTGTCCCATACTGGGCATGCTTTCTTTCACCAAGTGGTTCACCACCGAGGGTATGTTGTTTCTGTTCATGTTCATCTTTGGAGGAGAACTCAAAGGGGTGCTATAACATGAAGTGTTGGTGCTGTTATTGCCATTGATGTATGAAGAAGCAGGAACCAAAGGGTGGGAATGAGGTGAGATCTCACCAGAGCTACCAATATTTCCCAATTTTCCAATCAGTTCCCTGATGACGAAATTCTCATTGGACATGTTGGAATTGGATGCTGCAGGAGAAGACACCATTGAACTAAGAGCTGAATCAAACTGAACTCCATGATCCGTTGACTTGTCCCATGTTGGGGTGAAAAAGCAATCTTGGGTCTGCTCAGGTGAACAATTCAAAACCGTTACTTGAACATCCATGGCAGAAGAGTGTGATACAGATTGCCAAGTGGGCATTGAAGGCTCAAAATGCAGCTGGGAGGGGACACCAGCATTGAGAAAGAATTGGTTTTCCATGAAGGACCCCAAAAAGTTGAATTAATGTTATGTATGTATGTATGTTGAACTCGGTGTTTCTTTCCCTCCCAGTGAGCCGAATGCTAAGAATAAAATGGTTATGGGCTATGGGTTATGGTTATGATTATGACATGAATGAATTACATTAGAGGGTGGTGAGAGGGAGTGATGAAATAGAGAGAGGGAGAGAGAGAGAGAGAGAGGTGGATTGGGTGTGAAAATGGAAACGTAAGTGGTAAATAAAAAGCAAAGCAAAAGGAAAGAGTGAAGGGGATTGATGAGGATGCAATGGGGGGGCCTAAATACAGATCCAACACAAGTTGAGTCCAACTTGTGTATGTTTGACCTTTTGTTTTTTTGGTGTTGTTTATAATACTTAGCAGTATCGTTTGTTGTATTGGATGGATGGCAGCAGTAGTCAGTAATATGTTACTTTTTTATCTCTCTCTCTCTCTCTCTCTCTCTCTCTCTCTCTCTCTCTCTCTTTCTTCTTCTCCTCTTGTCTTGTGTGTTGAACTTGAGTTTCAGTATTACCACTCCGTAAAAGACGGAAGAGTGTGTTTGGCGGGCCTTGAACGTCACAACACCAAAATGTCTCCTTTCATTTTCTTCAAATCTCCATTCTCTCTTCCAACACCATGCAATGCATCACACCACTTACTCCTTCTTGTTCCCTCCCTTTTTATATATCAATAAACATTAATATTTCTAATTTTTTAGTAAATTCTTATTTTCTATAGTCTAAACAATATATTTTGCAATTTTAAAATTCTACAAGTTAGATACTAATCCAACAAAACCCTACGTTTATGTATTATATTTAAATTCTCATTATTGAATGAGAGTTTTTTAGAAGCTATTTTAAATAAAACTATTTTTAGTAACTATAAATGTTTTTAGAAGTGACTCTCATATATTGTGTCATGTAACTTGTCTTCGATTAAGTTAATTATCATTCTTCTTCAATTTTATTTATATTTTAAATTTAATTTAATGTATATATATATCAAACAAATATCTTTCTTTTCTTTCCAAAAATATATTTATATTTTTATAATGTTAAACAATTATAATTGAATTTTAAACTATGACAAATCATAATAATAAAGATGAAAAATTATTTTAAAATTTAATCTTAATTTGAGTTTTAAAATATTTCTTAATTTTTAAAAATTTTACCTCTTTAATTTAGTTCTATTTAATATAATATAATACACAATTATCCAACATATCTTAATTTATGAAATTATACTTATATTATAAACCTTACAAATCAGCTTCATTTACGTGAATAAGTACAACAATCTCAAGCTCGTTTAGAATATTAAATTTGTTGGGAGACTGATAAAAAAATTGAATTCATTCTTAATATTGATGATAGTTTTTAGGAGAGCCTAGAATAAGTTATTTTTTGTACTCTTGTTTGAAATAGGGATAAATATTGATTTACAAAAGTTTCTGAGTTTATTGATATTTTTGACAATACTTATGTTAAACTCATATTCATTATTTAGAGGTTGAAAATGATTTAAAATTTAAATATTAAACATCTCTTATGTTGTTATAACATAGTGAAAGTCATAAAACTTGTGATAGAAATTGTTTCACATTTTCACAAACATACTAATTTCATTTGAGATATAAAAGAGTAGCTAAAATAAGACTGATAAATCATCGTCAAACACACCTATAAGAAAGACAACACAATGCAAATTTTTTAGTTAAGCTTAAAGCTTTTTCACATTATGATTTCAAAGATTAAGTCTTACTTTATTCAAAATTTAATTTTTCAAATTGATGTTAAAGAAGTTCTATATTTAAAATTATAATTTTTCTTTTGTTTACTTTTTTTTTTTCTATCAAAAAGAGAACTAAGACTAAATTTTACCATATTTATAAAATTTAAAATATATTTAAGCGTTTTTGTATTTACATGTTTTCCATCTACACTTTTTTAAGTTAAAAGCTGATAAATCATTTTTATAAAATCAAGTAAAAAACATAATACTTTAATAATTTAAAATTAAATAAAGCAATTAATGATCAGGTCAAAATATGTTAAATAAATTTTAAGTTTTTTTCATTGAAGTTATCATTTTTTTATTCTTTTCTTTATGAAGAAGGTACATTTTTCAAATAATTGTATCTAAAAAAAATGTTACATTATAGCATAAAAAATAAAATGACTGAATACTAATAAATTTAATTTATTTAAAAAAGAAACAGATGTAACATTTGTTTAAAATAAAAAATTGTGAAAAGATAAAAATTTAAAAAAAATTGATGAGATCTTAAAGAAAAATATTAATAAATTGAGAATATTTTTATTTGAAATTATATAATTTTGTTCTAAATGAACGTAAGAGGGCTCAACACTCATAGTCAACGGTCTTAGATTGACAGTGGATATAAATTGGGTTAGACACTTGATTTGATTTTAGTTCTCAATCCATATTTCGTGTTAGATATAACTATCCTCACAAAAACTATTCTTCTATGAAAATTGGGGGTTCCTTAATTAAGATTTTGGTTTAGGCCTTCTCTCTCCCTTAATTGGGTTCATTAAGTAATTAATAAAAATAATATATGAAAGGCATTTTGTTTCATCACTCATGACACCACCTTCTAACATTGTTGCATAACATTAAACGAAATAACAGCTTAAATTTAAGAACAAGTGGTGAGTAATATGAGATTTTTCCATTGGCTCATGTTTTGGTTGATCTCATAATGTAATATTTAAATATATAAAAATAACAATTTTTATTGAAAAATTTATTTTTATCATATTAAATTTATAAAAATGTAATAAATAATATTTAATCAAATTTTACTAACATTAGTTACTTAAACTTAAGTCTAAATACTTAACATTTTCATTAAAAATACACGTTTTGTATTCTTTTTTGAAATTTTTTTTACTTTCATTTATAGCAATTTTTTGATAAAGTATTTAATTTACGGATGCTATTAGCCTATTTATCAGCTGCCCAACCTAAAGTTGTGTTTTAACATTTTAAATAACTAAAATATTTAATTTTTTTTATTGTTTTATCAGATAAATAGGTTAGTCTATAACTATGTGAATTAAACTCATTTAACTAAAAGATTTCGTGAATCAACTCGTATACTTTTTTTTTCAATTAATAGAAGATTATTAGATAAAAAATTTGAAAATGTAAAAAATTATTTGAAAATATTTTACCTAATAGTTATGAAAAGGAGATAATATATACCAAAATATAAAATAAAATTGCAACTTGGTCGTCATCTGCATTTGTAAATTCATAAATGGTATATACTTCATAATAAAATATTTATTATAATTAAATCCAACGCATATCTTATGATAAAAAAAATATAAAAAAGCAAACCATAGATATTAAATAATGAGGAGTGGCACAAATGATTAAAGACATGAAAGAAATTTTTTGCCTTTTTCAAAGACAGTTTCAAATCTCACTGAAACCATCCAAAACCTCTAAACTCCTAAGAGTTGGTTGAATTGCGGGTGCATGGCCCGATAAAATTCAATGGGTTATCTTCTTTTTATCATTTTTAATATCCAAAATAAATTAAGAATAAAACATTAATTTTAACTCTAATAGTAGCATTGTTATTCAATTTAATCTTTAACATTATAAAAAGATAAATTTGATTCTTAATACTATTATATCAGTCAATTTAATCTTCAAAATTAAGAATTAGTATCAATTTGGTTTTATCTAACAATTTATTCATAGGGACCAAATTGTTTATAATTTGATTATAATTTGCTTAAAATTACGGACTTCTCAACTAATGTGTACCAAAGTTCAGGAGCAGAAATAATTGATTCTAATAAATAAACAAAGACAAATTAATAGGTTCCAATTAATGTCAAAAAATAAAATAATTGATGGTCATTAATTAAAAAATTGTTTTTAACAATTTAGGGAACAAAATGATCAATAAATGCAATTCAAGGCTCTTAATTTTATGCTTTATCCAAACACATTATAATGTATATGTTTAATGGCACAGTTTGTGAAAATGCTATTGAAAGTAACTTATAAATAGTTGTTTAAAGTGGTAACATAAGTACTAAGAAATGAATTTAATTAGTTATTTTGTTTTTATTAAAAAAATTTAAAAGTTCCTATCATATCCATTTTGAATTTTGTTTCTACAATAAATAAATAGAGAGAAAATAAAAATGGCTTTTGAGATAATAATCATCTTAGAGATAAAATTAAAAAAATAATACTACCTTAAATTGTAAAATCTGTGCAATATTACACATAATAAGAATTTATATAATATAAATTTTATTAAAAAATAACTTTTAATAATATCAACGTATTAAATTCTATAATTTTTTAACAGATAATTTTTAATTAATAGTTATAATTTTTTATTTAAAGTGTGACTGTCTATTTTGAAAGAATTAGTTTATTTTTAACTTTGCATGATTTTCTGAGCACCATTATCATTGTATTTTTGTTAAATACTGGTATAGTATGTATTCAACGATTTATAATAGAAGAAATTTCTTGAAGAATACTTGTGGTTTTTTATCATGGTTTAAAGTCTTTGTCTAGAGACAACGTTAATTAAATACGAAATCAATCTGAAATTTCTCCAAATTCGAGACGATTCGCAACTGTTTATGAATGCTTGAGCTTGTCGTTGTAATTTAAATGAAAGTTTTTCTTGAAAGAGAGGGTGTCCTTTAAGATACTTTAATTCCCAAACTAGATGTTTGTTGCTTGTAAATAGACCCCTTTCATATCATATGACATAGCTGTTTTCAGTAGGTAGCACCTCCATATATACTATTACGCTATTTGACCTCGATTTTTGTGCACTTTATTTCTTAATATTTGTTTATTAGCTTCTCTATGTTAACCTTTCAGACACATGAAAAATATATTACCCCACAATCACAAAACTAATGTACAAGTTCTTATTTATCTTAGTTAAGCTTTTGAATTAAAATTAATTAAACTGACATTTAACTCAACTAATCACTAAAAGAAATAAATTAATCAACTGTGGTATGACTAAGTGAAGTGCCTAAAGTCCTTATAACATCAACTTGGGGTAACACTTAATAATGATTGATCCTACATGTGATTCCTATTATATGTTCCTTTTGTCC